CGCGAATTTCGTAAGTTTCTCAGGAAATGACCAGTTGCTCGGTTGGATTCCGTTGCAATTTAGTATCAGTTCTACGAGATTATTGTAGACAAAGTTTGTGTTGTTAGAAATGTATGTTATTATTCGGTAATAATATTCTGATCCTCTAATTTTATTTTATAGCAGGATGACGAAGAGGTATTATAGTTAAACAGATGGTTACCGAACAGTGATCGATTAGACAGAATGTCATGGGCGAATAATGTACTTCTTCTGAGTAATAAGTTTGCATACTCTTTGATTAATCGCAATAATTAGCATTATGGTAGTTATAATACGCTATCCAAGTGACTAAATATGTAAATAGAAATCAAGATATCTCACTGAAGAAACGAAACGATCCTGTTTCATTATACTTCTCATTATCACATAGATTAATGACTATCGTCATAAAAGTATATTTACCGAATTCATTAAAAGTTTCATCGAATCTGGCAGATCCGATCAAAATCGTTCCAAAATTAATAATAATATTTCACATTGCAAAGTTTTTCACAGAATAAATCCTATCTAATGCCTGTAATACCATGGAGTGTGCTCATAAAAAGCCTTGGTGCTTCCATGAAAACAGTGAATTGTTTCTTAATTTCCCGAGGCCATTGTTCACGACGAAGGGTCCTCGCGATTGTGCTGCAACGCGATACCGGACGATACACTTTATTGCCCCCTCGTTTTTACAAATGGATCCACAAGTTTGCCCGATACTTCGCCCTTTTATCACGGGCGAACGCACGGCTTCATTTCCCACCGGCTAGATAAGAATAATGGACCATACGAAGGTGTTTCCTCGATCCCTATCTTAATAACTATCTGTTTCGCGAGTAACGCGTAAATTACGGAGGATAAACTTACGAAGGAATTTAGAAGAAAACGATGCTATCGATATCGTGGATATTATCAGGCCATTACGCCATTCCGACAACCAACAACATGGCTGGTACACGAGGCTCTCTTCAACTAGCTTGCTGAATTATGTATAATGATGAGCGCGCGCGCGTTCGAACAATGACTGGCCTCTTTAACCGCATTGTTCGACTTCTGGACAGGCAACCACGGCCATAAAAGTTCCTCAAGAAGATGCGCCGTCAAGATCGTCAGGGAAACAAATGACGCCTGTGAGCCTTTTAATTGCAGCACCTGCTCTCTCGTACGGCCTCTGCGAAAACGCGGAGGTGATAATTTTTCTTCTACAGCTGTTCGATTTCGTTTTCAACCGCGTCATCGACGAGCCAGTCGTAAAAAAAAAACGGAGCCACTTCGTGGACTGTTACGGTAGCGACTACCACGTGACTTGGACCTACTTTTCCACTCGAAATGCCTGATGGCTTTGTGCTGCAATTAGTGAAATTGCCCCCGTGACGATCAAGATTGTCGGAACGGTGGTCAATTTATTGGAAATTTCACGTTCGGACTAATTTTAATCTAAACAGGTGGAACTTGTTGAATAGAATAGCTAATTATTGGAATAGATGTACAATTTTCTATCGCGTCAAATTGAACTTAAAATTGAAATATTTCCTACATTTTCGTCGCAGTCGTACTTTCGTGTCGTTAAAACATTTTGTAGATTATCAGGATGAAGTATTCTAGTAACGCTGGTTCCCAATTTTTTCGAGAATTTCATATTGAATCACCAATACGAAATTTAAAATTGCAGCCGTTTTACAGTCACAAATGTAGAAGCGCATTAACATATGGAAAAAATCCATCCGACTGGCGTGCAAGCCAATCAGTCACCGTCTCCGTCGTCTTCTGTTTTTAATATTCCACTAGATAGCATATTAAAAAATATGATGGAGCAGGAATAATTTCTTCGTTAGTCATAGTAAATAATCACCGATCTCGTCCGACACGATTTATGTAAATCAGTACTTCCTTCTTTCTCATCGAAGACACGAGCAATAAATATCAACGTCAAAGAACAAATAATTACCCATTGAAACATTTAGAAAAAGATCATTTAGACGTGTATTCTTATTTTAATGCTAAGAATTTGCCGTATTACGTTACGAATACTGTATTCGGACTCGTTTGTTTTAAATCAAATAAAGAACCTTCATGTAGAAATACCAAATATGCCTGTTGGTTTCTGTTACCTTCCTTCCACCGTACGTGTGTCCATCGGTTTTCTTTCCAGGTGCACCGAACCGCAAAGCAACGTAGAGGGGTTCCACGAAGAAACGCGCAACCAACGCGACTAATCATCGACGAGATATTTATTTTCTATTATTTCGTGGGAATCGAGCAACGCGCCGCTTTCCTTCTCGATTTAGAAGCCCTCGACTCGCCTATGCTCGATGACGGATTTTTATTTTCGGTATCGCGTTTCCATCAGAAAACCCTCGCGCACCTTTCTTCCTTGACGTGTTCCGAGGATGAATCTTCTGTTCACCTGTCACGTGTCTATTAACGACTCTACTCGCCACTCAACGATCCCAAATTAGCACATACAATTGCTGTTTCAGAAGGAATTTTGTATCGCGAGTCGGTTCTTTGTCTTCGACGTGTAAACTTTTTTCTAAATATCGTAGAATACTTTTTTACATATAAACATATATCTATTGTATCTGTAGCACAGTTCAATCAAAATGTAAATAATTGTAGAATAACTTAGTTTCATTAAAAATAATATGCTCCTTGTTTTAAGTGAAAAATCACCAGCATTGAATTCTACGAATCAACTTTGAATTATTCCAATTTCCGCATAATTTTACATAAGCTCCTTCAAATGTCAATTTTATACTTCCGACAATTTTCACGATGCCTGATTCAAGACTTAAAAGATTTAGAAAGGTTTCGTGAATATCGCAACGATTCGTATCCTAATTCAAATTTTGCACCAACCTAATAAATTATTGCGAACTACACGGAAACTAGCAATTATTACGTTTCGATTACCGGCTCAGACGTGATGAAGAAGGGCACGACGGTAGATCAATCATTCGAACGTTCGATTACGAACATAGTCAGGTCTGAGAAGATACGAATGCGTGCGATACGTTGCGTGGTACATATACACGTTGCGTGATACGCAGGCGATTGGTTCTGTGGGAACTCGTCAGCATTGACGAACCCCGTTTATCAACCTATTTAGATACCCAATTGCCGCTGGCTTCTTCGGCAGATGGAGATATTCTCGGAGATTCATGGCCACTCGTGTTTTGTCCTACGAGGACTTAATTACATCTGTGTGCCCGTAATGTTATATTGCGAATTGTTCCACTAACGGTCAAACTGATACTAACTTTGTGGCCGAACATAATTAAAGAAAATAATTAAAGAAAAATTTCTAGATACGCAATAGCGGATTTTAGAATTATAACGTATCATAAAGATTAACGTTTATTTTACATACAACGAAGGTAATAACAATACTAAAGCTATTATCTGTTACGTGAACTTGAGTCGAGCTTAATATAGGTATGTATACGCTTCTGTCGCGGTTTCCAACGAATCAGGGCGAAATTGTGAAGGCGCTCGGTGTTACATTAAGAAACAGGAAGTCGATTTCTAAACGATGCCGTCGGAATCATTAAATGATGCCAATTAAAAAAGATAATGAGCGGGATTCATTACTCCCGCGAACAAAGATTCCATGCCCGTTTCGTAGAACGCCGTGGCAGGAAAACCGCAGCTCTGACGCAACGAAATCCAGTCGAATAGCATCCACAATGGACGCAGATCGAGAACATCGCTATTAGAGATAATAGAATGTGTAGAGTAATTTTCCCACAGTCACAGGCGAAAACACGCGGCTTTCCTACCTTTCACCTAATGCCACATTTCACATGTGTTCGCTCGGTAAATCTACTATTGAATGCTACGAATTAACGCGGTTAATACGAGCAGAGAATTGTCGAAGATACCGTTCCGAAAATCTACGCGAGTTCTTAAACCGCGTTTTCCACGGTTCTTTCGCGGAACCGATAATTAATAGATGAAAGAAAGCGTATATTCTCGCATTATGCTCGCGAATACAGTTAGTCTAACAATTTCCAAAATCTTCGTCCGAGCGAAACGACCGACAATTTTCCGCTTTTTCGTCACCGGAGAATCCTTCGGCAAACTTTTTTCCAACGGTATCAAGAACCGACACGGACGCTTCCAACTTTTTCACCACGCACGCCACACTGTCGCCAATCGTACGCCGTTGCACGCTACCGTGCGGTTTGTCGAGTTTTCAACCAGATAAAGTAGAATGTATTACGTAAAACGATTCCCTGCACAGTTATTCCAAAACAGAATTTAGAAAATAGCTTGATCAATTTTAATCTTTGCATGATCTTTTCTGTCAGCTTCCGATACAATTTTTCGCCGAGATAGTTTCATTGAATTACACAGTTGAGAACTAATATTAACGAAATTAGCAAAATATAGTAGCAAAATTTTATGAATCAAAAATTGCTATCGCTAGTACATTCTTTTGTATAAATTGTAAAATTCTAATTGTTTGTATAACAGTTTGTAATTTATAACCTATAATTTGTCACTTGTCAATTCGTCGTTGTTATTAATTAGTAAATTATTGTGTAAGAGTGTCCAAGTTAAGTTTAAATACAATAGTGTTCGAAAATTAGAAACATTGTAGTTTTGTAATACGTAAGATGCTTTTATGACGAGAGATAGATCTTTCGTATGTATTTTATATGTTTTTTCGATGGTATTGATACGTTGCATGAATCATAGATGTGACTTCAAAATTCTACATGTGAAAGCACGTCGTATAAAAGTGTGTTTATTTTATCTTTTAGTAAAATACATATAATCGTTAAATGTGAATACACTTCCAAATGAGAAAATATCTATATAAAAAGTCACATTTACAATCCGAAAATAAATTTTGAAGTCACAGTGTGATTCTAACCTTCCAGATTATGTAACCTCCTAAATGAACTTTCTTCATTACCGACTAAGAAAACTACAACTAATAATAATTAAAGAATAATTTCTATTTCACTTACCATTCATCTTGAACGAGTTGAGAACATTTCATCAGTCGAATTACATCCAGATGAAGCCAATCCAGTAACACCAAAGAACGATCTGTGATTCTTCGAACGAAGGGGAGCACAGGCGTTTTCGTCGAAAGAGTGATGTCCGCGAAAGCAATGAAACACGTTTTTAATTACTTTTCATACTTTCGTGCGATAAACGAGGCGTTGACTGTCTGTTTGTCGTTGTCAGGAACAGCAATATGCATGCGGGTCGGGTTTTAAATAAACGGTTGTCTTCCCCTTTGACTTTACGATAATAGGTTTGTTTGCATTCCAATTTCAAGAAGTTTAACACTGTTTTTTACACTTTACACCGCACTGTTCGTCGCCGAACTAGATCCAGCTTTCACCGGTTCAATGAATTTCGATTCGTTTGCTTTTCTTTGTTCGTATTGCCACAATAACAACGCATTCACAATTACGACGCGCAATTATATCGACGACGCGTTACACGAAGTCTTCCGAACGACTGTTGTGTCGACGAGACGAGCGTAGAGGTCGATTTAGTATATCGACGTTCGAGAATCGAAGTATTTACACGAGTGAATACACGGAGCCATTGAGTGTCAGAGATTTTCAAACTGCGTAAATATTCTTCTCTTAATTTTATTATTATTATTATTTTATTATAATTTATTATTTTAATATTGACATTTAACATTTTCGTAGCTTTTCGATAATTAATACTTAATTTTCTCATTTAGATAATAATTACTGGAATCAACATACTTCTATCGACGAAGAAATTGACGAATTCTCGGATGGTGTTTGGAGGTTGGATATTTGAGTATACGTAATTTATGCCTCTGTGGACAGAAGAATCTCCACTGTATGCAATGATGCGATCGTGATGCAACAATCTGTGAGTAAATATTGAATATGCATGCACGTTACATTACTAATTTCTACTTTTACAAAATAAAGTCGTTCGAAAATAACCTTAGAATACAAACGTTATTACACATTCCTTTGACATAAACGTTCCATATAATCGACAATCAAACATCGATATAATCGATATCACTTGCGATAGACAGAATCTTCGTCAGTCGTGAAAATTATTAACGTCTGTATTGTAAGGTTAAGATTGAAATTTATTAAACTTTAAATAGATGGTAAATATTATATTACGATACTTTTCTTGATACAAAATTAATTCATGCGCGTAATCAAATATTTTGATGTGGTTTTCGTTTTGACTTAAAAAAGTGATTAATGATCTGGTATTATTATAATATCGGAATCTATTTGGACGTTATTACAATTTCTCCATTACAAACACGAATAGTTCATACCAGATATATTAGGTTGCCCAAAAAATTTCTTTTGTTTCATAAAATGATAATAGATGAACAATTTCTGTTTTATATTATTTTATTGAATTAGGTGTGATTTATTTTGTTATATTTCTATTATTATGTTCGTGCATAATTCAGTAAACCAATATAAAACAAAAGACATTGTGTGTCTATTATTTCCTTATAAAACGAAAAGAACTTTTTGGACAACCTAATACTATACTTAAAAACTGTTAAGTCTGAAGCTAACTTAATGTCGGTTCATCAGGAAAGGCAGGGAACTCGAAAACAATCTCTGTTCCTTTCAGATTAATACAATATTTAGGGCCTCCTATTTTACGGTCTGATTACGATCCGTAGTATCTCTGAAAATCGTTCAGAAATTCGGCAGTGGTCCGTTGTTATGAGATCGTAATAACGCATCGCTTTTCGAAAGTTTCGCCCCCGCCGAAACGTGCGTTGTGATTAAACACAATGTGCGCCGTGAAACACAATGGAGTAATAATATTCCGGTGCGGCAGACGGCGCGAGATTTGCGTGCTGAATGAAAAAGTTACCAACAAGCAAAATTCCCGCGAATTCCGACAAAAGCATCGGGGCCGAGTCAGGACGAGAGAGAGTGAGCAAGAGAGAGGAAGGGAGAAAGAGATTGAAGAATGAAAAGTACCGAACACCGCCGTGTGTGTTCGGAACACGCCGCTGGCCAGGTTTCTATCGTAAAGCCTCATTATCGTTGTAATTATCAGGCAAAGAATATAATGTGAGACGGTGGCGTGTCAGAATGCATTCAATATCGGCCTCCCTTATACAAAGTTAATCCCCGTGTCTACGTGGAAGTCGTACGAGTAACTGCAGACCGCACCGCGAGGGAAGGAAAAAGGTTCGTGTTTCCACTAAAAATTATGATTTTCGAGAATAATGATCGAATTTAATTTAAAATATCCAGCGGTTAAAACGAGGCTCTGTTAGTAATTCATTAATTATCCAGCATTACTTAACAGGATTTCTATAATAACGCCACACGAGAGAGAGAACGACTCAATTTTTCGCCATGAAAATTAACGCATCATAACGCAACACTTGAAAAATCATTAAAACCAGAATATATTTCATGATACCGCCGTGTTCCGTTTCAACTCTTCATCAACGATCATTAAACACAATACACCGCGATATCAAGTTTTATTTAATCATCCGTATCTCTTGCTAACAGTCCTGCAATCCATGTGAACGACTCAATTTCCATATACGGATACACACGTATACTCACATACTCACGTAACATCGGTGTACATACATATCGACTTTGTAACACGTTCGCAACGTCGACCGTGGACGCTCTTAAATTCATGCTCCTCCCACTTCAAATCCGAATTGCAATCGCGCAATTAACGGCTGCAATTAGAGTCTCCGATATCAGGACCGATATTATAAAGCACTCTAATTGTCTCGTTGACTGAATGGCTCGCACAGCGCGCGTGCGGCATTGGTGAAATCGCAATCGTCAAAACGATCGTTCTGCCGACGTCTCACGCAAACTCTTCGATCCAAGGTATCTATAACTGCCCACCCTCTCCACCGTGGTGCCGCGGACCAGTTTACTCGACCAGAGGCGTGGGTGGGCAGCACGAAACGGCCCTAGAAGCCTCTTAATCGCACCCCGTCCGAGTTTCAAAGTTTACGGGTTAAAGACCGGCTGGGTTATTAATGCACGGATTCCGTGATACAACAGTCCGGTCAATATATCGCGCGTTTCCGAGCGATTCCTCGCTATAGAGAAACGCAGCACCCTGTCTCACCCCTTTGTGCGAGGCTGTCGACCGATCGAAGTGTATCGCGTTTTAATAGTCGAGCGAGGAATCGAAGGATGATAGAATTATAGAACATTCTTGTTCGATGAAGATGATACTTATCTTTACTAGCGAATAGAAAAGGATTCGTTTTTAATTAGGTGTTTTTCACAAGTATATTTAGATACACGTTACACATGGATAGTTGTAATGTTAGAAAAATAATAAATAACGAAAATTGTTTAACGTGTCAATCCTTCGGAGCTCCGAAAACGGATAAGAAACTCTCTTCCCATCCGAGGATTATCAAATTCTCGACGCGTCGCTCGTCACAGGACGAACACTTTCCCGAGCGAAATTTCACATCCTCTCTTCGCATCCTAAATGTTCTTCGACTACAACGTTACCGCGTCGCGTCACTTTTATTGCGAATTCTTCTTTTAACACCCTCCTAACGGCCGGGACACAAGATATTCCCTGGTCCCCGGTATGAAAACGCCGGTCCCGTTCGCACGCCTTCTTATTCCCATGCATAGGACCGGATCTCGATGTCACTACGAGACGAGTCTCTCTCTGTTCCACGTTTCAACGACGCTCGTATGGCTCGCGTGCGCTCATTCGAAGCGGATAATATTCAATTTCAGGCACCTCTGTGGGCCCGTGTGGCAATTTACGCGTTGCACCATGCCTGGATCTGCACAGCTCTCATAGCTGGCGGCCAGAAGTAGATGCGCGCCAAGTGAAAAAAATTGAACTCCGAGGTTCTCTCTTCCCATAATGGCGGAACGTCGCGAGCGAGCCAACTTCAAACCAGGTTTCTTCGATCCTTCGTCGAGTTTACAACGCTGTGCCCTTCGAGCTCGCGTAAACGGCGATAATTGCACACGCAGTTGCAGCAAGGACGCCTCTGGAATCGCGTGCACATTCTCGTTGAACACGTGCAAGTAACAGCATCGAACGTCCGTTCGAGCTGAAGTTCGGACTAGAAATAGGCGCATCCGTTTTATGGCCGCGTAAAGAGCATGGTGAACGCAGTTATACCGCGATCCTCCTGGCAAGGCTCGTACTCGGAGAGAGCCTGCGGAACGCCAGATGCGTTACGACTAGCCAACGCCGGCTTGTCAATTATTGAAATGAGCTAATTATCGTTTTCTCGAGCCTCACGGGCGGACAGCTGCACCTTGCTCGCGCGTTTAGACAAGGAAGGGGAGCTGGGTTCTTGGCTGTATGGCCCCTGCCTGTCTGGTCGAGCGCGTGCTACACGTCGCGTCATTATCCTTAGAATGCAACGGCCGCTCCTGGAACTGCTTATTCCGACATCTTTCAGAGGCATTCCATCGAGCAAGTGCACACGTCGATGGGGTAATTTATTAATCGGTTCGCAAACGGACCGTGTAACGAGTTTCGCCGACCTCGTTCGTCCGTGATTCTAGAAATTTTCTGTATATTCGCGGAAATTCTTTCAGTGAAAATATATGCAGGATGCAGTGGTACAAGTTATTACCCTGTTTCTTTCCTAATAGTCTATTCATTGATATTCATAAAGAAAGATTATTTAAATTATATTTGTAGAAAGTTTTAAGAAGTTCTACCTGTACAATTGCTATTACAGTTTCAATTTGCCGTCTTTTAAACCATTTATTTTTTAACTAAAATTCAACTTCTCTATGACAGTTCTTTTTGATGCTTAGCTCGATCATAATCTGGTACTTGCGAGATAATATGAGACAAGGAAACAAGTAGACATAATGTACCTAAATCATATTAACAAGGAGTAGCCGTTTATAATACCATAAAATCATCACAAACAATACGTTCAACGACCTTTTAGTCCACAACACCACTCGTATCTCATCAGATACGAACATAATCAATCTATTAACCCATAACGTTTAATCTGGCACAACGTATGTATAGCTATCTCGTAGAACGAAACAGAATTTTCTAGTTAAAATATGACTGGCCTCGGTATTGAATCCCGCGTAATCTGCGCAAAGACCAGGTGATCCGAAGTGGTAAGACGTCGCCGGGGAGAAAGCTAGAACTCGAGGGGGTCGGAATCGTTCGACTAATGGAACAAGAACGAGGGGTTTGCCGGAGAAGAACCTTATTTCGCTCGTTTATCCGCGGAGTGCAGATTCTTAATAGAATACTCGATGAATGTATTTCTCTTACGAGACTAAGACCGGTTAGGAAGGACCGAAGAACGGTGACGTGGGGACAGAGGGGGTGGTCGACGGAGGATGAACGGGGGTGTAGACGAAGAGAAAAGGGAGAGGGTGTGTCTCAACGCGATAATAAATCTGTGCTTAGCTGTACGACAATGGGCCGGACGGAGAGAACGGAAAGAAGGGTTTAAGCCGCGTCCTACTTACGCGACG